ACGCATGTACAAGCAGACATGCGAGGGAGAAAGGGAGATGGCCATCGACAGTTCCAATACGGCTCCAAGGCGGAAGAGGGGGAGGAGGAGCAGGACAAGGAGGAAAGGAGAGAAGCGAGAAAGGAAGAACGCAGACGGCGCGGCTCTGGACACAAAGGGGTGCCATACTTTCTCCTGCTTTCGCAAACAGGTCCAGTCACACGTAGGGGTATACTCAACCGAATGGTCTTCGCATCCAGAAGCATACTAAAGGCGCGACGCATCGTCGTCTGCGATGGCGCGGAGCGGGCGCGTGGGTGCCCGGCTGCCTGGCTGATACACGTGCGGGCCTGGCTGATACCCGTGCGGTCCCAGATGCCCAAGCGTGTCTTTCGATGAATACTGCAGTAGCCACGCCGTTGCGACCCTATCTGGCACATACAGTGGTGGATCCAACTGTCGGAGCGCCCGGCATAATTTGTAAGCGGTATTATACTCGATGCCCAGGTGGCGGATGGCAGACCCGTGCTGCTCCTCCAGCTCCTTGGCGCTAGAAATACTGACCTTGCCAGTCACAACCCGATACTTGGCCCACCAAGTCTTGCACGCCTGGTGACTGGCATTGATACCCTTTGCCGCGAGCGCCTGATGCAAATAATACGCACTCTCGCAGTCGGCCAAGGGAGGCCGGGACAGCTCTGCGCCATACTGCTCGTGAAGGTCTTTCGCCGTCAAAGCCATGATCCAAGAACACAGGCGATACCTTGATCCGAGATGGCTACGGATATGAGCGTGAGAGGAAGGGGGGAAGCCTCCTGGGGCCGCTGGGGGTCCTCTTGGGGAAGGGGGGAAGCCTCCTGGCGCCGCATGGGGTCCTCTTGAGAGGCTTTGGGGGGCTTCTTGAAAGCATGTTGGGGCCTCTTGGGGGCTTATTGGATCCTCCCGGAGGACTCTTGGAGCCGCTTGGACGCCTCCTGGGGCCATCTTGGGGGCCTCTTGGAGCCAACTTGGAGCCTCTTTGGAACCTCTTGGGGGCCTCTTGGAGTCCTCTTGGGGCCTCTTGGGACCATCTTGGGCGCCTCTTGCGGCCTCATGGGCGCCTCTTGGGGCCATCTTGAGCGCCTCTTGGGGCCATCTTGGGTTTTAAAGATTCATGAAGAGCCCGCGGGTGGATTTTGATATTTTTCGGATGAGAAAGTCTTGCGTTTGCATATGTTTTCGGAACATCGCATCTTGAAATTATTGAAATCACATTATGTTTGGCAGGATTTCGGCACGCGCGCGCGGCGGCCGCGCGCATGTGCACTTCGTGTCATTTTTTGCAAGGGATGGTGGCCCTCGTAGGCTCGCAACCGTTGTTGCAGAAGGTCGAAGCACCTGAAAAGGTTCCTCGCAAAGGCCCTTTTAACAGAAATGTTTAAAATCTGGTGGGTTTCCTAGGAATCCGCAAGAGCGCGCGGAAGGACATTTTGACAATTTTTTCTGAGAAAACCATTGGGTTTTTGATGTTTTTATGTTAAAATCGCTACGAAACCTAAGGTTTTGGAAGGATTTCGTCTTGCGCGCACGAATGTCCACTTTACCTTATTTTTTGCAAGGGATTCTTGCAATTTGATCAAGTAAAAACAAGAATTTTCATTTTCTATTGTTTTTTGCAAGGGAAAACGAGCGTCAACAAAAAACCGGATCCGGAGCTCATCCACTTTTCTGAAGCTTTCGCGAAAAAATGATGAAAATGTAGCTGCGGCCTAGGCGCGGCGCAGAGGTCGCGCACCAGGGGTCCCAACAATAATAATTCTTTAGAAGGAATAATGTTCAACAACAACAACAACAACAACAACAACATCAACGAACACCATGACAGCAGCCACATCAACAGCACCAGCATCAGCAACATAATCAGCATCAGCATCATCAACCGCAGTTATCGTCATCATCATAATCACAATCGACACCATCAACATCATCATCAGTATCATCACCAGCAGCATCATCATCAGCATCATCATCGTCGTGATCACCAGCAGCATGTCAGCATCGTCATCATCAACAGCAGCAACAAAAAACACATACACCGTCATCGATGCAATCATCATCGTCAACATCATCATCATCAGCATCGTCACCAGCGTCGTCATAAAGATACTGATCAGCATAATCAGAATCATCAACATCATCAGCATAAACACCATCAGCATCATCATCAGCAGCCGCATTATCACAGCCATCACCATCATCATCAGCATCATCCTCATCGTCATCATCATCACCAGCAGAAGCAGCACCAGCAGCATCGTAGTCGTCGTCGTAGTAGTCGTCGTCATCATCATCACCACCAGCAGCATCATCATCATCAGCATCATTATCATCATCCTCGTCGTCCTCCTCCTCTTCCTAACCATCAGGATCATTATCATCAGCATCATCATCGTCATCGTCAACCAAATCACCAACTGCATCGTCAGCGTCGACGTCGTCAGAAGCATCACTATCAGCACCATAAGCATGAGTATCAGCATCGACTTCATCAGCATCATCATCCTCATCATCATCACCATCACCATCACCGTCACCATCATCATCATCATCATCATCATCATCATCATCATCATCATCATCATCATCATCATCATCATCATCATCATCAGCATCAGCATCATCATCATCATCATCATCATCATCATCATCATCACCATCGCTATCGCCATCACCATCACCATCACCATCACCATCACCATCATCATCATCATCATCATCATCATCATCATCATCATCATCATCATCATCATCATCATCATCATCATCATCATCATCATCGTCGTCATCGCTCCTCCGCCGAGGAGGTTGGCAACCTCCTCCTCCATCTTGTCCCTCAACGTTCTCCTCCCTTGAGGCGGGGAGACAACGACGACGACGGCGACTACTGCTTACCACTTACCGCCTGGGCCGAACAAAGTCACATGTGCGCGACGGCCGGGGCACTGGGAAGTCGGGCGAGGTAGCAATCAAACCCCGTGAGCCACTCGACGGGAGCTCACCACTACGACCAAGAACGACTCTGCCTTCCCCTCCCGCTCCTCGTTTTCCTCGTTCTCCCCCCGCTCCTCCCCCTCCCGCTCCCCCACCCCTTCCCCCTCCTCTTCCCTCCTCCCCCTCTCCACCTCCCCCCTCCCTCCCCCCCCCATCCCTGAGAGACGGGCTCTGCGCGACGCTGGGCCCGCGCCCACCGTTGCGGGGTCCGGGGCAGGCGGGGCTGGGCCGGGCCGACCCGCGCCAGGCGGCGGCGGCGGCGCCCCGGCGCGCGCGGGGCTGCGCGCAGGCGGCGGCGGCCCGGGCCTGAAGGAGGGAGGGGGACGACAAGGGAGGGTGGGGGGGGCTGGCTCGGGGGGGGCGGGGGGGGGAAGCATCTAGCTTGAATCGGCGATGGCTCAGGGGGCGAGCGTCTGGCTCGGGGGGGGGAGCTGGCTCAGGGGCGGGGGCATGGAAGCTCAGAGGCCCCTCCAGGATGCTCCAGCGCGCTGAGGGAATCACAGCGGGAGCTTCGCCGTACGGTCGGTCCTAGGACAGAAGAACATCCTCCAACATGAGACCCTCCGCTGGCCAAAACACCCCAAAACTATAAGACGACCGACCCCCAAGATGCAAGAGCATCCAACAAGCACGAAGAGCACTCAAGGGTACCCACCTCAATCCAACCAGATCTTGGCCGCCAACACTGCTCTTGCAACTCTACTCAATCTGAGCGCGGGTCTCCTCCCCTCGCCCGCCTCGTTAATGTTCCGTTTTCCGCACCATTTGCAATTCCGTTGCCCGGCTTGCCGCTACGACCGCGCTGAGTCCCCCAGCGAAAGCTGCAACTAAAAGTGCTTCGCCGCGAGTGCCATGGGAGTGCCCTCCCCTCTCCCCCTCCCTCCTCCCTCGCGGCCACTTCGCTGTTCTTTCCCTCCTCCTGCCGCCAGCTCATCAGCGCCTTCCGCTGCCCGGACCGCCTGAGTATGCGTGCGGACTGCTTCTGCCGCGCTACGACGTAAAAGTGTTCGGTTCCTCTGGGGGCCCTCCCCGCGCTCCGGGGCTATCAGCTGACGGCTTGGGGTGAAAGAAGCCAGCCCAAAGTATAGATTGATTATCCGACCTGATTGTTCGGCCTCCTCTGGGGGCCCCCGCTTGGCTCCGGGGCCATCCGAGAACGGCTCGGGATGAATAGAACCAGGAAAGAACGGTATAAACCTAAACAGTTGGTGCTCCGCGCGGATTTGGGGGATCTGCGCTGGGCCCCGAGCGGACACGAAATCCGCGCGGACCGCCAACAGTGTATGTTTATAGCGTTTCTTCGACTGAGAGAGGCCAGCCCAGGGTAGATTTAGGTCGGGCGTGTCACAAAGAGTCGAAAAATAATAGAAACATCGTCCCTGGACTATTCCTTGACAATTTTGGAATCTTCCTCATGTAGAGGGACACGCCGGACTTCAGGGTAGATCCTCCGCCCTGGCTCTGTCCGTCCGCGGCCCCGACCCTTTCCCCGGGGTCACAAGGCTGCGCCCGCCCAGAGCCGTTGGCGGTGGCCTTCGGGGCCCGAGAACGGGCCCATGAGGCCAGAGCTCGCAAGAAAAAACGTCCGCGACGGGAAATACAGTCGGGGCGCTGGCCTAAGGAACCCTCAGGAAGGAGCGAGGCCCCTTGTTTCCATAAGTTAAGCTTCGAATTCCCATCGAAGACCTAAGCAAAAACCGAAGGCCAAGCGCAACACAACTAAGGAACACTGAGCCCCTCCCAAACGAAAAAGGGTTCCTTCTTCAACGCCCCGACTGTTAAAATCTGTAGATCCAATATTCAACTCCTTTTGAGCATCGATGGGCTACGGGCGGAGCACGATTCAATCTGTTCTCATCCAAACTCGCTCTAGCCGAAACTCGGAAAGATCGGCATTCAACCGAAACTCCACTGGTTTCAGCAACCGCTCTAACTATCGGCTGGCCCCAGGAAAACCGAACACCCCTTCCTCGGCCTTCGGCGCCGCAAGTGGACGGAGGCGGAGGCGAAAGCCTATTGGACCAGCGCAACTCTTTTCACAACGAGCGCGCTGGCAAACGGCCAGCGTTGTCAAAGCCCGCTGTGTCTCACGTTGCCGTCGGCCTCCATCGTCAATTTCAACATCCGCTCGATCGTCTCCTCGTCGAGAGCTTTCGCGACCAGGCCTGCTGGACTCCAGTGGCCCTCGGCCGTTTTCAGCAACAGCTTCTTGTTGATCTTAGCTCGTTCCTGCATCCACAGGAATCGCACGCCTATGTGTCGAACAGCCCCCAATCCCTGTCTGCGAGAAATATCTCTGGCTGCAGAAGCGTCGCTGAAGATCTGCAACTCCGTCTCGCCACTCGCGCCCACGCCCAAGTCGCGCAGCATCGCCTGCACTCCAAAACCGCGGCAGGACCCACGCAGTAATGAGTATGATCGGCCTCCCCGCTGCTGAGGCTCACAATGGATTGGGCCGTGCTGCCATGTTTCAGCAGATGCGATCCCCATAATATGGCCATTCCCGTTCTCGAGCGTCTCGCGATTGGGCCCCCGGCGTAGTCGCTGTCGCAATATGCGCTGATCTTGTCTGGTAGCCCCTGCGCCGGGAACAGCGACCGCCCTGCCGGGTACTTTTCTCTTCAAGTCCTCCATGTTGTTCTCCCTCGGATCCTTCCAGACCAGACCGCCGTTGTTCGGCAGTAAGTCCGTCTGCTCCTCGGCGACGTCGGCCACGGCAGCCCGCTGCGCACTGCGGGGGCCAGGACGGGGCGCGCGTCGCCCACCAACCTGCCAAGCTTCGCCTCCAGGGCGAACCGGATGGTCCTCACTTGCCTCTTCACCTCTCGAACTGCAACTTCGACTCCTCCGTTACTTTGGCGCTCTCCTGGCGGTGACTCTCTCGGCAAGAACTCCACCGTGGGTGCCGCCACTGCGACCGCCGTCTTCAACGCCACGATCGCCGCCTCCCCATCGCTCTGGAAGATCAGCCTGCGGTTGCCCAGATGCAGGATGAAGCTCATCAAGATCTTGACCATGAAGTTTGTCACCTTCTTGCCGGGGACCGCCGACGAGCACGGGGGCCTCGTCTTGGAGTCTCTGGCGACCAGCATCGGGAAGTTGTCCTCCTGGTGGGAGCTGGAGCTAGTCCAGCTCCGCTACCATCTTCAACTCCTTTTGAGCAACGATGGACTGCGGCCGGAGCACGATTCAAGCTGTTCTCATCCAAACTCGCTCTAGCCGAAACTCGGAACGATCGGCATTCAACCGAAACTCCACTGGTTTCAGTAACCGCTCTACACTATGGGCTGGTCCAAGGAAAACCTAACATCAAAAACACACCTAAAAAACAGAACACACACACACACACACTCACATCGTCGGAGATCTGCGGGGAAGAGTCGCTGGAACTTCAGGGGGGGCCGTACTGAAAAAACGGCCCGTCGGATCTCTGGGCCCGAGGCCTGGGTCGCCCAGCAGCGTCTCGCCTCGCCCGCATCGCGGTGAGAGAGAGACGCGCGCCAAAGATCGCGCCATCACGCCGCCGACCTCTGGCGAGGGCACATCTTCTGCTGGGGCCCACAAGGCGTACGGCAGGTTCGCGTCGTGCCGACCCCGGCCCTGGTTCCTGACACCACGGGGATCGTTCTATCTTGAACGATTGGCCGTCTCCGAAACGTCCGATCGTTCAACGTCGACTGATTCTGTCTGGGTCGGCGGCGGCGTTCAACGCTCAACGCCGGCGGCGGGGTCGCCGCCAGTCGACACGACGCGAACCTACCGTAGTTGTCGTCGCGCCCCTGCGAGTGACCTACAGCCATCGCGCTCCCACAAGGAACGCCCAATGAGGAACGAAGGGCCTCTCTGTGACCCAGCCTCGGCCTCGAAGAGGTCCTCCGACCCAAATCTGAGGAGGGGACCAGAAGCCAGGGCCCCGCCGGAGCCCAGTGGACCCCATTCTGGCGTCGTCGCCTGCAGGAGATCTGGGCGAAGCATTTTTCTTCACGCCAGGCGCGCTTGCCCAATTTCGAAACACGGCGGCCCTCGCGGAACATGGGGTCGAGGGCGCCGCCAGTCGTACTTTCTGCGATGTTGCACTTTTCCGCGGCGTCGAATCCCAGGAGAGAGCGCAGGGCGCAGAATCAAAGGGAGGACAATGGTAAAAAACTCTCGCGTTATTGCCCCTCTCGGGCCTCCAGACGCCTCAGGAGCCGTTCAGGTACTCCTAGGGACATCTGGGGACCTCCTCCTCCTCCTCCTCCTCCTCCTCTTCCTCCTCCTCCTCCTCTACTCCTCCCTCTCCCTCCACTCTTCAAGACGGGCGACTTAGAGGCGGGCGAAAGCCTAAGCAGGAGGAGCCTCAGCATTCGCGCAGGCAGGATCACACGGCGGCAGCAACGACGGCGGCGGCGGCAGCAACGGCGACGGCGGCGTCGACTGCGGCGACGGCGGCGACGGCTGCGACAACGGGGGGACGGGAAACGGACGGAAGAGAGGAAGAAGGGAGAAATAAGAAGACGAAGACGAAGAAGAGGAAGAAAGAAGAAGAGAAAAAGAAGAAGCAACAGAAAAAGAAAAAGACAAAACCGAAGAAGAAAAGAAGAAGAAGAAGAGAAGAAGAAGCAGAGCAGAAAAGAGCGAAGACGACTGAATAAAAGAAGAAGAAGAAAAGAAGAATAAGAGAAAGAAAACGAAGAATGAAGAAGAAGAAAGGAAAAAAGAAGAAGAAGAAGAAGAAGAAGAAGAATTAAGAGAAGAAGAAGGAAGAAGAAGAAGAATAAGAAGAAGAAGAGTAGAAGAAGAGAAGAATAAAAAGAAGAGACGAAGAAGAAGAAAGAAGAGAAGAAGGACGAAGAAGAAGAGAGCAACACTAATAACTAAGACATAAGAATAAATAATATACATACGTCAGAAAAATAAAACTAACAAAGCAAACTGAACAATCACACGTAAAATGAACCCGAATCATGCAAACATAAAATCAGAATAATAATACGAAGACGAATCTCTCCCTCCTCCTCCTCCTCCTCACTCCGCCTCCTCCTTCCTCCTCCTCCTCCTCCTCCTCCTCCTCCTCCCCCTCCCCTGGCCTCGTGTGGTCCAACGCGGGCGGCGCCGACTCCGCGCGAACCGTGCTGCGGGCCGAAGGCGGCGAGCCAGATTCAACGCAGTCGAGCGCCGGGGGCGGCGGGCCAGGTCTTGACCTTATCCAGACGCAGCGGGGGGGTGGGGACGAGGGGGGGCGAGTTATGTTTCGACGTCGATATGTTTTTCGACCTCGGGCTCTTCAGCCCAATTACGCGTGTTTCCGATGTTTGGCTTTTCAGCCGCGGGATGCTTCAACCCCTAAGGCTTTTCTAACCCCAGGAAAAATCCAGACTTCCAGGGTCTTGAATGCAATACGGAAGTGATGTTCGGCTTCCGCGAACGCCGTTTCCGGGCTCGAGGAGCGCCGAAGAGCAATCACGATGAGCAAACGGCGGCGGGGAAGGATAAAAGGGCGGCGTCGAATACCCGAGGAGGGAACCAGGGAATGAAGAAAGGGGGAAGGGGCACGCTGGGCACGCTTGCACCACATCTGATATCGTAACCCCTCCCGCCCATCCCTTCCCACTGCGTTGGACCCGTCTCTAGATGCAGACTGGGGTGCCCCAGAGGACCTTGATCCGCAAATGGCAGCTGCAGGATGTGACCCGTCCTCTGCTGCGCTACGTATCGGAAAGGGGGCACTTGTACACTGAAGGAGGAGAGGGTGAAGGAGGAGGAGGAGGCGGAGGGTGTGGCGGAGGTGGAGGGAGCAGGAGGAGCAGGAGGAACAGGAGGAACAGGAGAAGGCGGAACAGGAGAGAACGGACGGGGCGGCAACGGCGAGGAAGGAGTCGCATCCAGGAATGTAGCCCGCGCACGGTGGAGTTGAAGGCTACGTCGTGTACTTACGTTTCGCCAGCTCGTGAGCTGCCAACTCCAATGCTCGCGCAATCACCCAACCTTCCCAACAACAACCTGTTTTGCACATCCACTGCGGCCGCGAATTTTGTGATTAATTGGCACTACCTGGCGCATCTTTATTGTTGCTCTACCGCGAGCAAGCTCGCGCGCAGAGCGACCAGCTGGTTTGGCACAACCAATGCAGCCGCGATGTCGCTTACCGATGGGAACTTCCCAAGGCGACAGTCTGAACGACGGGAACAAAGGAACGTTCCTGTAGCGGCTGCAGCGTTTAAAGGACCGACAACGTTCCCTCACTCAAATGGTGCAAGCGTGCAGTGGAGAGAAGGAAATGGTGCAAGCGTGCAGTGGAGAGAAGGAAGTGAGGCGGAGGGGGAAAGGGGGACGAGGGAAACGGAGCGGGTGGGAAAGGGAAGAGGAGGGAGGAGAAGGATATGAGAGATAGGGCGAGGGGAAGGGGAGGGGCGACGGGCAAGTTAGGTGCGCTCGCGTCAACATCTGACATCCTACCCCTCCCTCCCATCCCTTACCATGGCGCTGATTTTCTCTATCCGCGGACGCGTGTCGTAGCGGACCTGTGGCTCCGCGCGCGTGTGCGTAGTGGGTGGTGGTGCGCGTGCGTGCATGCGTGTGTGCGTGGTTGTGGTTGTTGTGGTGGTGGTGTGTATGTGTGTGTGCGTGTGTGCACGTGTGCTGTGGTGTGACGTGGTGTGGCGTCTTGGTGGTTTGGTGGTGGGCCAGGTGCGTACGTGCGTGATGGCGGTGGTGGTGGTGCCGGTGGTGGTGTGTGTGTGTGTGTCTGTGTGTGTGCGTGTGCGTGTGTGTGTGTGTGTGTCTGTGTGTGTGCGTGTGCGTGTGTGTGTGCGCGTGTGTGCGCGTGTGTGCGCGCGTGCGTGTGTGTGTGTGTGTGCGTGTGCGTGCGTGCGTGTGTGTGTGTGTGTGTGTGTGTCTGTGTGTCTGTGTGTCTGTGTCTGTGTGTGTGTGTGTCTGTGTCTGTGTGTGTGTCTGTGTGTGTGTGTGTGTGTGCGTGCGTGCGTGCGTGCGTGCGTGCGTGCGTGCGTGCGTGCGTGCGTGCGTGCGTGCGTGCGTGCGTGCGTGCGTGCGTGCGTGCGTGCGTGCGTGCGTGCGTGTGTGTCTGTGTGTGCGCGCGTGTGATGTGGTGTGACGCGGTGTAGCGTGGTGGTGGTGGGTGGGGTAGTTCGGTGGTGGTGGCGGTGCGCGGTGGTGGTGCGCGTGCGTGCGTGCGTGCGTGGGTGGGTGGAAGTGGCGGTGGGTGTGCGTGCGGCGGGGCGGGGCGTGGTGCGGCGCGGTGGTGGCGGGCGGATGGGCGCGCGAGAAAGAGGCCCGCGCTGGGGCGAGAACGCCATCCTGAACGACGGAGGCAAAACACCGATCCGAAAATGAGGCCCACGCTGCAGCGGGAGCACGATTCGGAACGATTCGGGAGCAGAAATGAAGCTGGCGCCTCAGCGAGAACAGCATTTTGAAAAAAAACGCAGGCGAAAACCCAACTCCCGGGAATCCTGTGTGTAAAAAACAATACGCGGGGGGGGGGGGGTCGAATATTCCCAGCACGCCATCAGGGGAAGAGGGAGAGTAGTATTCATATTGAGTAATTGTGTAAAAGGGGAGGGGACAAGGGAAGGGAGAAGGAAAGGGAGGAGGAAGGGGAAAGGGGAGGGAGACTGGAAAGAGGGCGGAAGGCGGAGTGGGAGGAGACAAGAGAGGCGATGGGAGGGTGAGGTACTCCTCCTCCTTCTCCTTCTCCTCCTCCACCTGCTCCAGTGATGTCGTGTTCATGCGAGGGTGTCTGGACTGAGGCTAGGGTTAGGTCGGACATGTTCTTCTACAGGAGGATCTCGGACGAAAAGTAAAACATACGCCAAAAATGCTCAAAAGTACCCCCCAAAAAAAGAAACATCGTCCCGACTATTGTTTCTATGTTTGAATATTCCTCCTGTAGAGGGACAGGCCAGACTGAAGGTTAGGGCACACAAGGCGTGCTACAGCTCGCAAGGCTTGCGACCGCCGTGCGGGCAGCCGGATTTGGTCGCCCACGGGATGCTCTGGTGAACCAACCCAGGGAAGCACCCATGGAGTGAATGAACTTTGACACTACAATTAGGTCGGGCACTTTCCCCTACAAGCGGAAGTTTGACGAAACATGTATAATACTATATATATATATAGATATATAAAAATCGAAAGAACAAACGAAAAATCGTCCCCTGACATTTTTCTACTATTCTTGAATATCCCTCCTGTAGAGGGACACGCCCGACTTAACACTACGAGGATAAGCGTACGAGGATGAACGTACAGGGAAGCTGGAGAAGGTGGCCGGAGCCAGCCCCGCAACTCTTTTCAGCCCTGGCCGGTCT